ATCTTGTCACAGTTTTATATGTGATTACCCCATAGCTTTTTCAGAAGTATCCATGAGGGAAGGAACTTTCTTGACATGTGACATTCTTAATTTCATACTCCAGTATTGGATGTTTTAAAAAAATTATATATGGAGCATGGTATGGTGGTGTATACCGTTAATCCTGGTACTGGGGAAGCAGAGACAAGGGTATCTCTGAGTTCAAAGTAGCCTGGTTCAGCCTGGTCTACAGAGCAAGTTCTGGGACAGCTAGGAATACACAGAGAAACCCTATCTTGAAAAACAAACAAAATAAAATTACATATAGAACAAGCAAAGAGTAGTGGAACATCATAGGCTGAAGTGGGACTATCTGGTTTCTTTGGTGACTCAGTTGTGTCATGTGATGTTTTTCTAGAAATTGTCTTATGAGAGGATGCTTTTGCTGAAGCAGACACATGATGTATTTTTGGAAGCAGCCTAAAAAAAGGGCATGTGATGTTTTGCTAGCATGAATGCTTGAGAGAACGTGTGATGTTTAGAAAGGATATAAGTATAACACAATAGACAGTGGATGATGCTGTGTGGCATTGGTTTGCCTTGCCATTCTTTGCTAGTCATTGTTGGGCTTTGCTGATGCTGGTCTTTGCTGACCACACTTTGTGTTATTGGGACAAATATCTAGAATATAGTTAGGGATTATTCTGGTTTAGAAAAATGGGGGTCATAGGTTCTTCACGGTTCATGACTATTGCCTGTGTCCTGGACTACTCACTGCCCAACCCCACCTGCTCTTGGGGGTTGGAGATGAGGTTCTTAGAGTCAATGATATGGACTCCGGGAGCAGGTGAGGAACACCACAGCAAGCTCCCTGCACGCTGCTGCAAGCTTCTTTAGTACCCTCCACCGGTGCCACATTGGTCCCAAGAAAGCATCTCTTTTAAACAGCAGTTACTGATTGGCTGGCATTGTCTGCACCAGCAATCCTTGGTCTCTCAGGCAGTCCTCAGTTAGGTCCTCCTGCAGGAGATGCTTTTGCAGCTGCGTGAGTTCTCAGTGTTTACACAGAGGTGGGCCTGTTGTTTCTGCTGCACATGACTTTAGTAGCCTTGGATAGTTGGCTGGATTTCTGGCACCAGTCATGATTTCCCTCTTGTTTAGAGGGACTTATGTCTAATTAGAGGGTTATTACTGTCGATGCATATGTGTCAGTACTGCACCCTTACGTGACATGCTGTTCATTGATGTGATTCATAGGTGTCATAGCTGGGTAAGACTGTTGGTTGTCTAATGTTTTGTTTGGAAGCTTGCATGGAGACAACTGGTACCACACAGCTAGTACTCAGGGAAGAGGCTTTCAGGCCACTCCACTCGGGGGCCTTTGGACCCCAGGTCTGAAGTGCATAGTGCCTTTGGCAATAGAGACTTACCTTCCACCTTAAGCAGCAACCAATGGCAACAGCAATAGCTTATAATGTTTGGGGAGTCTTTTGAATAATTCTGGCCAACAACTCAAAAGAGGGCTTGTCAAGCCTGGTGTTGGATATTTTGTTAGGTGGTCTTTGTCTCTTGGAGGGAGTGTTGTCAGCCCAGATGAGAAACTTACAACTGAACTATATACGTATCGATGCCGACTTACATGTATTCTAGGCATTTTTAGGGACGGTTATGATTCCTTCTGACCTTCTCAGATATCCTACTGTTATCTTAGACTCCTCCCTCCTTCTCCCGTATTTACTTTCCTCTCCTCCATAATTAGAGCCCCCCCTTTTTTCACAAATTTCCCCCATCAGATCACTTACACCTTGTTATTCTTATCCCTGTTGTTCCCCTGCCACACCCCCACCCCTTTCTACTTTTCTCGTTTCTGAAGTGACCCCATTATTTGGATGTTGAGACCCATTTCATCCCTGGCTTGGGCCTTGAGGACAAACCTGAGCCTGGCTCGAGTTTTGAGACCTGTCTTAGTCACTTCTGTCCCAGAGTGACTCAACAGGACCCGTTTAGCCTTACCTCTGTTCAGCTGTTGCTGATGTAGAGCTTTGCCATTGGCCCTGTCAGTCACCCCATACCCTTTGTCACCCTTCCCCACTCCCTCCATCATCTCACCCCACCAAAACCCCTCCTCCCTATGCTCGGAGTTTATATAAACAAGAGGTTGTTACATTAAAGTTGAGTTCCTGCTTAGACAAGACTCCCGGCCTGGTGTTTCTTTGGGCCATCGACACTCACCATCCCGCTCAGCTCCAGAGAGATCCAGCTGGATTGGGATCTCTCTCTTCCCTCCTGGACCTGCCAGCTGCAAAGAGCCAGCATTTGTACCTGAAGATTTAGAACTGAGAGCCTCAAAAGAAGAAAAAGTGTCTAAGAAATATCTAAGAAAAAAAAAGTTCATTGTCTATAGCAATTAGGGGACTACAAATCAATACAACTCTTCAGATTTTTATCTTACTCCAGTCAGGGTAGCAAAGATAAGGATTACCTGGCAACAGATGTTGGAGGGATCTGCTGCCACTGCGATTTGACTGGTCCAGCCATTGTAGAAATCAGTATGGAGAATTTTCAACAAGCTAAAAATAAGTCTACCATATGGCCCAGATATACCAGTCCTTGGCATGTGCCCACAGGACTGCAATCCTACTCTACAGATACTCGCTAGACCACGTTTAGTTCTGCTCTATTCACAATATGTAGGAACCCAAATGTCCTACAACTGAGGAACGGGTCATGAAGATGATACCTGTACATGATGGAATACTATTTGCAGTAAAGAAAAGTGAAGTCATAGACTTTGCAGGTGAATAGACAGAACTAGTCAAGATCATAGTTTATGAGGTAACCCAGATGCAGAAAGACACATGTCCCAGGTTCTCTCAGTACCACCCCCTTCTTTAATGGCCAGCTCAAATTCTCCGTTCTTCTTACATTTGTCCTTTACACCCTCAGCAAGGATACAAGCTCATGTATTTCCTTAGCATGGGCTTTCTAACCAGCACCAGTGCTGCTCTTGATGACTTTAAACCCTTATGTTCACCTCTTAGATGACTGTTACCTATGTCTCCCTGGACTATGGTTATTCACATTCACAGTTCTCCTCTCTGATGAAATATAGAGTTCTTTACAGCTGAGGCCCAGGACCTATCCATCTTTGTCTCCTTTGCATTACCAAATGCAGAAGCATGCGTCCCACTGGTATTTGATACTTTTATTCTTTTCAACAGAAAAAAAAAGCACAAGAAGGAGATGGCTATGATGAATGTTTTATATGGGTACACACCAGCCACTAATGAGTTGACAAAAGAAACAGAGCTCTGTCCTTGGTCCAAATGTGTTTGAATCCTTCCCAGTGAGGCCTGAGGAGAAGCCAGAAATGCAGCAATTGCAGATTGCATCCAAGGATTCGTCACACCTAATGATGTTTCATATAATTTGATCGCCCAAGGCACACTCTCCTGACCAGTACAGATCTCTTCTATATTCACCATATTTTTCACAGTTCTGTTCTTACAACCTGGAATAAATAGGAAGACAGAATCGTGGGCTGAGAAATCAATCACAATGCTCTTGAGCACAGGCATGGGACAGCAGCAAGGGACATGGAAGATGGTGAAAATTTATAATTACCATAGTTTGCTTTGCTGTCAATAAAATATTCTGTTAGTCTAACTTGTTTAAAAATACTAAAAATGTTTTGTACATATAAAAGCCTTCATTTTTGGCTCAATATTATAGTATTCCTATTCTGTAGCTTTTATTTACTATGGCATTTTATTATTTTATTTTATTTACCTAGGCACAGGAAATATGTTATTTGTAAACCCTAAAAGTGATTACCTACAAAAAAGTATGTTTAAGTAATAGCATTAAAAAATCACAATATAAATTGGAATCTGTGTCCCCTGCTTGCAGTTCATAGGTTGAGATTTTATCCCAAGGTGATAAAATTAGAGAAGGGTACCTTGGTGGGAAGATCAGGTCATGAAGACAGGACCTTATGGTTGACATTAGTTCCCTTAAGAAAAGGAAGAAAGGGCTCATGTTGCTCTCTTTTACAACATGACAATTTGTGGATGTGTACATCCTCACAGAAAGTGGAGTCAGCCAATAACTTGCTCTCATGAGAACTAGTCTCCTGTCCTGCGAAAAGTGGCATTTCATGCTTGAACCTTCTGATCTGTGACATTCTGTTGTGATGATTGCATGCATGTCACCAGGACACACACACTTGTCAGTGTCAATGGGATGCGTCCCCTTTTCTTGTATGGTTCTTATTTTGTGAAAAATCTCATTCTCTCTCTCTCTCTCTCTCTCTCTCTCTCTCTCTCTCTCTCTCTCT